CATGTTTTAGGTTTTAAACAAGACCCTGATTGAAATAAACATATCATTTTTGTATTTTTATGTATTGTATATTATTTTTAACCACCTTTACACAAAAAACTCTCTCTTCATATCTTAGTATCTGGTTTAAAACATCATATTAAACCAGATACTACGACATGAAGACAGTTTGTTGTGTAAAAACAGTTAATAACATATAAATTAATTTCACAAAATGACAATCCAGTACAATCTTAGTACCATGTTTTACTTTGTATAATAATGCTTTTTCAACTGCATAGCCAATATTTTAAATGGAAAGATGATTGTAAATGATGAATTGGGAAGGTGAAAATTACTGTGACCTGCTCTAAAGTACTAAAGAATTTGCCTAGAGGGACTGAGAAAAACCCCCAAAAAACTCACTCAAAATCCCTGCCTGGCTTCCAGACTGAGAATCAACCTTGGGACTTCTTAAATAAGAAGCAACAGTGTTAACCACTCAGCTGACTTTTGTGTTCTAGGTCTTTTTATTCATCAACTTGATACAATATGCTTTGTATTCTTTAGCGAGAAGTTTGAGGATGATGTGCTCAAAGTATGGGACTACAAACACAGTGTAGAACAATACCAAACTGTAGGGGGTACAAGTACCAGCAGCATCTTACATCAGATCCATTTACTCGAAGAATGGCTGCACTTCGCTCAAGAGAGTTAATGACAGTTAGCAAGGCCAATCTGCTGTGATCTAAAATTTTGCAAAGTTTACATTAATATATATTTTCAATGCCTGAAGTTTTTTGCAGAACTTCCAATGCTGATTTGTAAATTTTAACACATTAAACAAGTTTAATTCAAAATGTGCAAGTGTGTATAAGTATGTCTGATTCAAGGACATGTAAAACAACACTTAGTTTCAAGGGCCAGTACTCTATGTTTATCATATTGTAGAATACAAATAAGTACACATATGCAATAATTATTGTCATGTATAAATATGTGTACTTATGATAGAAGAAATGAATGCCTTTAAGTGGCATAGAAGCTGAAAAGATGTCATTATTAACCACATTAAACACTGAAAAATAAAATGCATGCCTAGAGTATGAAATAATTTGTCAGACTTATCTTCCTGCTGGAGTTCGTAACATGGCTTGCTTCCCCATTTCTGAGTAACTGACCCTAGAACTTATATCCTCTTCCTCATTACTTTGCTGCTCAGACCATTCAATGCTGCAAAGGGAGATAATAGAACAAGCAGTAAAGATCACCACAAACTATTTAATCTGTACATGTACGCAAACACACATGCATGCATGCATTCATATACACTAAAAATTGCAGACTAGCATAAATTAGGCCATTGACTGGTATGGGGTACGTGGACCACTACTTCAGAAAAACCTGGACACCAAATTTCACAAGTCAAACTACAATGTCCCATCACTTACAGCCATTAAATTTAACAATGAAAACACAGATTTTGCACTGTAAGCATGATATTTTAAATTTTAGGATGGTACAATGAATGATGATAGTATTTCTCCATCCTACCTAACATAGTATTTAGGTCAAGTGGCACTTCAACATCAAAGGTTATTCACATCTATCACCTGCCCTTTATGGCTTTAAGATCTTGGTGTTGATAGTAGGAAATTGAATGCACATTAATCAGTGGCATTTTGCTCATATTGAATTCCACTGATTGTTTCTTATTTTATTTAAGAATGTGAGATTTCAGGTTCTCATGGCAGTGAGTATGGGGCAACAAGCCAGAAGACTTTCATCTCATCTACACAGGTTGTATAATGTCAAATGGGTGGAAGATCATAAATGATGGATTAGGAAGGAAGTGGCTGTGGTTTATTTTAAGGTAGTATTCTAGCTTGGAGATTTTAGAAACCAACAAAAAGGTCAGTCTGGATTAATAGCCAGTTTACAGATGAAGAATTAAATCTGAAATGTAAAATATACTGAAAAATTCAGTTCATTTCACAAGAAACAGCCAACTGGTTAAGACGCATGTTAACAGAGGAAAGACACACATAAGCACACATGAGCTCATACACATGACTGAAACAATACTAGTCCTTACTTACCACACAAAATAAGAAATAATAAAACATATATTGCAGATAGAATACACTGCATAAATTTCTTACACTTCCTTAAAAAGAAGCACACAGCAGGTAAGAATTGAGGATCTCATGAGTAATAAGTATGAAGATGGCTGTCTTCTGGGATGCTGCGCCATATAGTCTGTTAGACACTGCCCGACACTTCATCTCTCTGAAATGTTGGTCAGTATCTATCAGACTACACACCCCAGAAGATAGACATCTTTATAAACACAGTAATCAGTTTTTTCTTTGTGTAAACTAATTTAGAAAGTGATTTACATTGCACTCCTTATCTTCATCATTTTAACCTATTTAAAACTTAATTATAATAATATCTTTTAATTTCATTAAACAGTATTTAATCAGCCAGTTCATTCTAAAATAAACTCTAAACACAAATAGAATTTTCTGTTATATTTATATTTACACTACTTACAAGTATACAAGATAATTAATAAAATTTCAATATAATTTTTTTTTACAGAGATAGCTTATATTAAATTCATATCCAGAAATCATATGGCACTATAAAACAAACATTTTTACCATATTTACTCACATTTCTCTTGTCCAGAAATTTTTAATTACACAGCAGAGTACAAATCAAGTGATAAATTTTCCAGGAATATTTATAATTAGTTTATTTTGACTTCTGTCAATACTTAATGATAGTTTTTTATTCTCTTACACGTATTTTATCACAGAACTGCAGCTGTTGTTCTCACCTATGATTGTAAAAAATTCTGTAATCTCTGTATGCACAAAAATTACATAAATTACACAAAAATAATGTCCCTTTAAACTCCATGGCTACCGTATTTAAATTTTTACTTTTCAGCACTCACAAACATAATTTACATATTTAAAATTATCTGTATATGGTGAAAAGGTCTTTTTACTATCTTGCCTTGGCCCACCTAATAAGGATAATTGAATTCACTTCAGAGGTGAAGCACCCACACAACAACATTCAGTTTACTCCCACTGGTGGGCTGATTATAAAGAACATCAACTACAATCTGCAGTTATGGTCTGGGGAACAGAAATTCTAATTTTCTGACAGCCAAATGCTGCTAAATTATAATATGGTGCAAGTCAATGAGTAAATATGGCACTAATAATATGCCAACTCCATAAAATTTTAGTCTTATTTGTCTTTAACAAAGTTACATCTTTCATGGGGCTCAGTCAACAGGAATTACATTTCACTTTAGCCCTTTTTACCAAGCATAAAAGATAGGTATCATGGTATAAAGAAAGCAATACCAACTCTAAATGACATCCTAGACAAATTATTCATTACATTATCTAATGCATATCTCTGTTTGGGCATTGTGTTGTGCATATTTACATTGTGCAATACAGACAAACCTCGATTTTTGCCGCTTTTGAAACCAGTAAGTCAAAAAGTAGAAAAAATATATTTTACTATTATTTATAACGTTTTACAATGTTTCTCGTACTGATTCTTATATTAAATCATAATTTTTACATAGCTGATTTTGAATAAAAATTATAAATACAGTCACCTCTGCACTCATTGCTAAGTAGTTGCGAGATAATCTCCTAAAAATCCGCCAACATTGCGCAACAGTCACGTGAGTATTGGTCACTCTTCACGGCGAGTCATTTGCGTTCAGCCTGATATGGGAGTAAGGAAAAATGCGCTCAGTTCACTTCTTGTTGACACATTGAATGTGCTGAAAACTGTGTGCTAAACGTGTTTGTGTTGTTGTTCAACCACTATTCTGCAGTAGCAACTGTTTTATATTTATAAATTGTGGAAGAGCCACCATGTCTGGTAACAAAGTGAATGTGTTGCTAAAAAGTTGTGTAGGTCTATTGCGTTAGAAGATAAGATGGACGTGATTCGTAGAATAGAAGGTGGTGATACCCGTCGTAATGTGCAGAAGTATGAAGTTGCCTCCTTCCACTGTGACTACCATAACGAAAAATTCATATAAAATAGAACAGTCAATGCAACAGGCTACGAGAGTAAGTGCAACGCAAGTGAGTTATAGCAGAAGTAAACTTTTCAAAAGAATGGAGAAATTACTGTTGTTATGGGTGGATGACAAGAATCAAAAAAACACTCCCTTGACTGAAATTGCTATCACGGATACGGCAAAGTCAATTTTTGAGGAACTTAAGTCGTCAATGTTTGGGTGCCGCAAACGCATGTCATTGACTTCGCACTGATTTACATTATAAAAAGAGTTTCAATTTACGCCGGTTCGCCCAGGAACGCATCCCCAGCGTAAATCGAGGTTTACCTGTATATACATTCTTTGGTATATTTTTTAAATCACCTATTACAGAAATTGAGACATCAGTGACTAGATGATGAAGTTCAGTACATGGGTACCAAGATTTAAAATGCACATCAGTAGGGAAATGGTACAGAGCACATAAAGGCAGAACAATCCATTACAATGAGAACTGGTTCTATTTTAACCAACAATCATCAGTCAAAATTCAGACATAAAACAAATATTTCATCCCTGCATATATAAACACATAAACACCTTATTTTGAGTGTTCAACAAACATATGCATCAATAAATTTCATCAGTTTATCCCTTTTCAGTACAAATATGAAATTTTCACAATAAACTTTACTTTGTCAAGAACTTTTGCTGAAATGAAAACATGGAGAGCCATTTATATATTGTTGTTCCAGTCCACCATCCATTCCACCCCTCACACAGCAAGTTACTGTCTACAGCGGTACCCATATTTGACGTTCTTCCTCATTAACAACTGAATTTATTTAATTTCATTATTGGCTTCAAGTTAACAGTAAATTAAATTTCACTGAACAAACACACTCTAAAATGATGAGTGTGTATATACGCAAGACATTAATTACCTACATTTTACAAAAAAGTCTCTACAAAAATCTTTATATTTGGTGGAAGAATTCTGTTCATGCTATTTCATGTAGTAGAACTATTTCATACATAAAAGATGATGGGTGATCAAAAAGTGATATTGCTGCAAGACATGAAGGCATTTATCTTCTACTAATGTTATTTTAATGTTAAACATGTTCATGGACAAAAATTCTCCAATCTACCTCTTCTATCGTCCCAGTCTTTTCTCTCTTCTTCATGTCTTCTAACACCTGGCTGAACCATATTGTTCTTGGTCATCCCATAAATCTTTTTCCTTTAAATTTTAAATCTAATACCCTTCTCAGTATCCTTGTTCTATCCATTCTTTTCACATGGCTAAACCACTGTAGTCATAACAAACTATGGATTGCAATTTCTTCTCTAAAGATAGATTCCATCCCATCCTCTGTTTACCCTCAACACTTCTCAGAAATTTCATATCCATTGCATGGGGTCTTACTTTTGTTTTTCCTTGAAACTGTCCACATTATGACATTAAATGTTATTTCTTTTATAAAATTTTGTATAATTAAGAAGTACTTTTATTTTTATACTGATCTGTTGATTTTCACTTCTAAATTGATTTCACTTCCCAAACAAATAAATTTTTATACCAGCATAAAGTCACTGGATACGTTGTTTGTAACCTGAGTGTAGTAACATGGCAGGACACACTGCAGTAACACAAATTTTTTTGGATTCATCTGTTATTTATAACAACTAACTGCATGAAGTCTGTTCTTTCAAGGTCCAACAAGAATCCCAAAACAATTTAAGACGGTTCTCACTGTTAGCACAGAACTCACGAAAATCTTTCAGGATTTTAGTTTGAAACATCTCATCACCAGTGGCAGGAGTTGATGAAGACTTCCAACGTCGACTCACCATGTGGTTCCATGACCAACGGAATCCCACCTGATAAAAATAAACTGCAGTCCATAATTATAATCACTGACTTATTGTGAAAACGGTAATGAAAAATTTACACTGCATGAATGAAGATGTGTTAGTACAGATCTGTTACTAAGATACTTAAAAATTCTGTTTCAAGTACAAAGATTAAAAATCATCAAGTGAGACACACATGTGAACATGAAGGATAAACAGATAAGGAATTTCAGGGAGGCAATCATAGCTTATTTCTGAGTACAATCTTGGCATTCTTTAGGAAAGATTCAAAAAAATATGTCAAACCTAAGTTAGGATCAACTGAGATTTAAACCATGTTCTTCCCAAATACAAGTCTGAACTATCATCCCACTCAATATGTTAACTTTGGTAATGCTGGGCACCTCATTCATATCTGAGGCACTAAAACACACTAAGCTTTCATTTTACTGTCCCATGAACATGTCCTGTAACTATATTATGCTACAGCTTCCAGACCTGTGTGTAATTTGATTATGAGTATGTGAACTGGACTTACTGGCTTAAGGTAGAGGTTGAGATTTTGTTTTAAGTGTTGCAAATCTGCGTAAAATGGCAGTACACTTCCCCCTGTGCAAAACACCAAAAAAAGGAAAAGTAAAGCTCCATACATGTTAGACTTTGACACTAGCCAGAAGTAGGTGGAAGCAAGTGGTCAGCTATATGCTGAAGGAGCACTAGGAATCCATGGGATGCGCGGCTGATTCAGTCTCAGGGCCATTCTGGCCATGGTGATGGAGAAATTTTCTATTCTTAATAGTGGATGCGCGGCTGATTAAGTCTCAGGGCCATTCTGATGGAGAAATTTTCTATTCTTAATAGGAATTGAACCCCTGTTGTCCAGTCCATGGGTAGTTAGATTTTACTAAGGGAAACATACACAAGTACCTAACAGACCCACAATTTTTAACAAAATTTTAATCATCACAACTTACCCTCATGTCTGTACCATAGTCATCTTTGTTCTTGCCACTAACATGTCTTGTGATGTATTCCTCATGGGGACTGGACATGCTGTCTGAATGAACAGGGTACCTCCGAGAATTCTGGATTCCTAACTGTCTGCTTCCAAAACCAGATCGTCCAATATGTGACAGAGAATTACTACGGTGGTGAGGCCGCTGAAAATTGTAAACATCAATAAGATAGAATTCAGGAATGACATGAATCAAATCTGAAGTAAATCTGTGTTATACAGCAGCAGTTGGAGGCATTATACCCATCCTGATCAATTCCTTTACCACTCATCATCCTGGTCTGTCCCATGCCATTCCATCTATTTTCTTCCATCATAGCCCATCCATACAATCTCATCCAATCATGACCCTTCCCCAATGGCAATCCCCTCCCTTCCATCATCTATCCTTTCATCCCTGGTATGTTCCCCTTGGTAGAGAGACCCTTGTGTCTATTAGATAGCTGCTGGTTGAGCCCCAGAGCTATGCTAGAGAAGACAACAGGATCTTCACTCTCCAAACAAGCTATCCTCCAGAAAGGACACCCAGAACTGTTATAGACATTCAGCTTCATGTGCCAGATGAATTATTTCTTAAGAAAGAAACCTCAGTATCCATTAAACAGGAGGCAAGTTGGAACTTAGAACTGTTCTGGGTACTGAATAATCCTAAATACAGCCATTAAAAACTAAACCACCAGACCAAAGCTAGTCGCTTACTGACAAATTGTTGAGGCACATTAGATACTTCTCTTACAAAATGTAGAATGTAAAATATGCGAGTAAAACCTGGCATGGCTGTGATGGGATGAGGATAAACATGTTGCCAGTGAGGTGCACATATTGGTGCTGATGGGCCAGGTTTCTGTCGTTGTTACTGCCAGATGCGGGGGAGCTCGCACTAGAGCTATCCACAGTACACCGAACAAACCCAAACCTTTCAACAATTGTCTCTTGGAATAAGAACAAACGCTGGTCCCATGTCTCTTCAGGAAATTCTGAAATAAGGCATTTATAGTTAACAGGAGTATAATAAAGAGAAACTGCCATCAGTAAATCTGTGGTGATGATATTGCTGCTTATATGTTCTTGATATGCTGAGACCACTTAAAGATGTTACTCTTTCTGATGTTACCGTGGTACATCATTAAAATTTGACTGGGGTAATTAGTATTTTTAAAGGACATTAATACTGTGGGTAGGAACTAAACTTGCAGAACTGACTTGATATGGGCAATGTGGACTGTTCAAATTGTCTAGTTGATACATACATTAGAGTTTTAAAATTCAATGTATGCTTCTGGTTTATATATTTCACTAGAAGGTTGATTACTTTCAGAAGTATATTCAATCTTTTAAACACTTTCTGAACTAACAAATTTAGAAACTTGGGTTCCCCATGAACTTTTCCTTAATTATGAATAACATCCTGGCATGAAACAAATGCTCACCCTCATAGAAATAAGAATGATGCCTGTTGAAGGTTCATTTTATCTTATGACACATTTCACTGTTTACTTATGCCATGCTGAGGCGCTAGAGATGAAGTGGGGAGTTTCCTGTCACCGCAGAAACTTGTTTCTTGTCTTTGATTTATTACATTTATGTCAGCAATGACACCTGGTTGTCATATTGTACAATCACTGAACATGGTGTTAATAAAGATAAAATTATAATTTGACACCACAACAAAATTGTAATCACAGAAGCAAACAAAATCAAACCCCTTCTCCTCTGATAATTTCACTATCATGTGAGTAAGCAATCATTCTGGTACTACTGAAGAATGCCTGGTACAGTAAGATGCCAGCTAAAATACAAGTCTACCATCCTGTCCCACAAGGCTTGTAAATAAAAAGGCAAGATTTAAAGAGGCACTAAAGAGATACTTAATTACACACTACTTTACTCTACCAATGAATTTTTAATGTTTACAAACAAGTCTAATGATCTAATGATCATTAGACTTCCTTGTCCTCATATAATATAAATGGGTAGTATAATTTATCTACTGTATGTAATGGATGGATGTATTTGTAACATATTACTACTTTATGTGAGCCCTTTGTTTATAACATGTAAAATCTTTATAACAGTATAAATTGTACTTGAAATATGTATAACATGTATTATATTATTACATCTTATTCCACATTCTGTCATCTGACTAACTTATGGATCCAAGGAATATAATAAAGATGAAGACTAAGTGGCAGTGGTAGCCAATTATTATTTACTGGGGATCAGACAGGACTGTTTTGGCAACTGCAACCTGGAGATCATCATGAGAAAAATTGGATTTAAAAAAGTTGTTAAATATTCTTACTGAATATACTTTACAAATACACCAAAATACATAAAAAATAGCATTATTAATAATTAGTTCATACAGAATATCCTCATCTTTGGTGTTCACAAAGTGTATACATATAATAAAATGTGGATGGGTACTACAGACCTCAAAGCCTGAATTCTTCAACATTATTTAAACAAGCTTCAGCTTTAAAGGGTTAAAAATATAACTGTACTTGCCTTCAAACAAATAGCTCTTTTTACCCATCAGGCATTCTGTATCAAGAGATATAAATATTGGACCTCTTAAAGGGTCTGATTTGTGGGTGTAGGGTAATGCCAGTGGGTCAGACGGAATGGGTATCATCTGAAGGCCACATGTCTGGGCCTTTCTTGACCAACCCACAATCTACAAAACAACAAATTATGATTATTACATTAGCACAGGAGAAAAGTAATCTTAGTCCTTTCCCAATCAGTCAACGGTTTGAGGAAATGAGGCAGATTATCCTATGTCTATAATGATCTAACCTGACTTATGCTTATAATATAGTTCTCAGTTACATGTAATTCAGATTTATGGTAAAAGATTTCAGTTGTTATAAAACAGACTGGAAATTCACACAGTGCTTTTTTTAATATATTACAGTGTACAACTAACAGATTCTGTCATGTGATATTCCTTCTTTCTATGCTCAAAATATACTATGGCATCAAGGAATTATGTATTAATTTTGGGTTAAATAAGTGCAAGTATGTTGTTAAAATTCTGTAAAATTCTCAACTTAGATTTCTCCTTTGTAATATATAAAAAAACAATTGGAGTGTCAGTTGTATAGGGAAACTCAGGACTATGAAAGGGTTAAAATTAAAGCATTCAAGTGACCATTTAAACTGCTGGATTGACCACTTCCAATAACTGTAAAAACTGTGTACAATATTTCTTTTTTGATTGCCTATATCAACACAATAAGCTTCTGAATCTCTATCAAAGTGTAAGCTAAAATTTAATTTTCTAAGTAACATGACAGTGTTTGCATATGTTGGCCATGATAAAAAAAGTTCCTACAGTAATATTTATAATGAGAAACAGGTCATAAAAAATGTGTCATCTGCTAAAGACAACACAAATTTGGTGGCTGTCACTAGCACTTGTAGAATAAGAACATTAAGTGTGGTGACCAAGTATGTGGTTGTAATTAAGTGAAAATCTCTGCGAATACTTACCAGTTCAGCTACAATCGTTCCTGATGAAGTTACCCACTGCACAACCAGCTCAAAAGCTCTATCAGGTCTGTACACTGACTGATAGCGTGCATGTCCCCATTCTATTCGGTCACTCTTAGTACTGATATCAATTTCTAGATGTGTGTGTTTGTACAGCGGAACTAAAACATTCGCAAATGATGATCATTTAAGGAAAACAGTTAAAAATTATTAAAATAATGCTTAAGAACACACAATAATTTCACACATACTGTACCTTTATTAACTTAGTAACATTTTATGGCTTATAAGCAAATTACTAAAGAAGTCTCTGGTACCTGTCCAAAAGTTTGTAACACTAGAATCTACCACAGGCCACTATTCTTAACAGTTTAACCCTATTCACATCCAATTTATGATCATTTTAATATTAAAAATTTATCATCCCCACACGTAATTTCTATAAGAGTCATTTTAATATTATCCTCCAATTTGAACCCTGGTCTTCCAAGTAGTCTCTTCCCTTCAAGCATTCCAACTAAACTTGCTGATCATTCCCATCTATACTACATGTCATGCCCATCTCATCTTCAGGTTAATAATGCCCACCAGACATGGCTCCTTTGTCCCCCAAAAACAATCAGACATGGAAGCAACAAAACACAAAGCAAAGGAGCAGCTCTTGGCAGCTCTAAAAAATAATATTCATAGGTGCTTCTACCACTGGTAGGAATGTTGGAACATGGCGGTACGTGCTGAAGGCCATTATTAACTCACTATCCTTTTAAGTACAGTATCTTAGTTTTCACACATTCAGTCCTGATACATTTTTATTAGGCCCTGTATACATGTCTCTAACATTTATGTTCATACTGTTTCCTTTAAGCTTATTCATTTTGTCTTTCAGATGAGAAAACAATTATAATTTTCTGTTCAAGATTCCAAACTAGGTGTTTAAAATAAAGTGTAAAGAAATCAGATAATATAGTTGCACTGTGAATGTGGAATACTGGAAACAGAATGTGCCATTCTGATATTAAACAGAAGATAATATGTTTATCTAACCTGTCCACTCCTTGTCATTTTCACCAGCTTCCTGGCATATTTCTTCTAGAACAGAGCACAGGAACTTAGGAGAAACATTTGATGAAGACAGGGTTTCAGATGAAGGTGATGGTGGTACACTCTGTCTCCAGCCTGTCGGATGCTTCACTTCAACCTCTAGCCATTCATTTTCAAAACTCTGTAGATCACCCAAGGGCTGCAAGTACTCTCCATCTGTAAAAGATAAACCTTCAGTGTCACAGAAAAATCCAGCAAAGTAGCAAATCAAACTGTAACAATTTGAAGAATTTGTAGAAGTATCTGATATCTTGACATTTTATTACAGAAACAGAGTTTGACATTTCATTATGTGCTGTTTAAATACATCTGCCATAAGATCTTTAAACTTGCTTTTCTCAAAAACTTCTAAAATGCAATTAGTGACTTCTTACATAGCACAGATGAAAAGCTGAGAGAGACAGATGTAAATGGAAGTTAAAATAAATATACGATGGAGAAATTGGCTCAGGATTGGGTTCGGTGGTGGCCTTTTATAAATATGGTAATAAACTTTTGTTCCATAAAAATTGAACAATATCTTGATCAACTCAGCAACTAAAAACTTTTTAAGAAAACTCTAGCACCATGGACTGTATACAATATTGCAACAAACATATTTATTTGTGGTCTATTAATGATGATTTTCAGTAGTTCAGACTGTACAGTATCAAATGAGAGGATGATAGTGGATTAGAAAGGATGTGGAAGGAAGTGGTCATGGCATAATTTAAGGTACTATCCTGGCATCTGACTGGAAGGACTGAGGAAAACCACAAAAAACACCAGTCAGGATAGCCAGTCTTAGGGCCAAGATTTGAAGCTAGGACCTCCTGAATACGAAGCAGGAGTGTTAAACCACTCGACCACGACGTTTGGTGCAATAAAATAATCAATACTTTAGTTACAAATATGACTAAAAATGACTTACAGTACTAGCATCTGTGTGACATAAAATACAGACGTCACCAAGGTTATCTACAATTTATATACAACACATTATTAAATATGGTAACATGTGACAAAATGTCTCTATATAGTTTAAAGCCTGTAATGTTTGTCAGAAACAAATTTATGACTATGAAATGAGGTATCCACTCAATACAAATTGGTAATCAAAATAAGCAGTGATATCAATGAGACATACACCACTACAAAGGGTGCACTTAGAAAACTGTGTATCCTAGACTAGTGTGCATTTTTTCAATCTCATTATCTGTCAATGTAATAAGATTTTACAGTCCAATGGGGGGGGGGAGTATGTAAGTAAGTAGGTAAGTAAATAAGTCAGTTTAAAATGCGAAATGGCCAAATTGGTTTATCTGAGACATGTTATAGGCAAAAATGCTGGAACCGTGTGGAAATTAACAGAAGCAAAATTATGAGCTTCATAATATGTAATCTCTTCATCAAATATTATAGGGCACATAGTATACAGTGAAACCTCGATGCATCGTTTTTGGCGGGGGTGGGAAATAAAAACGATGAATACGGGAAAACGATAGTTGCGGGAAAGCATTCAAATTTTTAAAAAAAACTGAATGTTTCTCTTTCAAAGTTACTTCTTTTTACCAAAAAAGTCTTTAATGCCACCAACAATTAAAACTCTAAATGATTTAAAGGTGTTCAAGCGTGCATTGAGAGGTCACCTCTTCACTCACTCTTTCCATTCTGCAGATTATTTCACCTCTGCTGAAATTTCTTAAGATTTATGTATTTCTATAATCTATATTTAAAGTGGTTTTGTATTCTTATTTAAAATTCTGAGGTTTATGTATACAGTGAAACCTCGATGCATCGTTTTTGGCGGGGGTGGGAAATAAAAACGATGAATGCGGGAAAACGATAGATGCGGGAAAATGTAACATTATTTTATATGGGATGTATCCGGGACCGAACAAAACGGACGATGCATCTGGGAAAACGATAGTTCGGGGAACGATGGATAGAGGTTTCACTGTACATGAGACATGAGAAATACAGACAAAATTTTAGTATGTAGACCTGAAGGGAAAACACAACATGGGCCACCCAGCCACCAACAGAGGAAACATTAAAATGTTATCTTAGAATGGGAGGTTATGGACTGGATCCATCTGGATCAGGATAGAGCCAATGGTGGGTTCTTGTAAAGATGGTAATTATACTTTGAGTACCACACTAAGTAGGGACTTTTGTACCAGACTGATTATTAGCTTCTGAACAAGGATTCTGGATTTAACAGGTTTAACATGAGTGGGAAGGAGCACGATGCTTACAGCATCCAATAGAATTTCCTTTGTTAAAATGAAAAACTTGACTCATTACACTTCTCAAGAATTTATCTTCACAAAAATTAACCAATAAATGTACATAATATAAAACATACCATGCTGAGACTTGTAATTTTTATTTTAACCACTTATCAATTTGGTGTAAATTTCATAAGGCAAAAATATTCACATATTTGTGGTTCTTGGTTTATTTAATTATGGTTTTTCAGCTGCATTGGCTATGCAGCATCAGATTGCTGTGAATAACAAAATGGAAAAAATGTGGAACCCATTATGGCCTGTTTTAAGCTACTATCCCAGAATTTGCCTGGAAGAACTGGGGAAAACAGATTCTTAGCTGCTAAATGACAACTTACTGCAGATACATCCTGCACCAGATTTAATATGGTTTCATAAAACAGTATAAAGTGGAACATGCAAATGGATGAACAATAATAACTCCCATTTCCCAGTAATGCGTTCTTTGTTTTGCACAATGCAAACAAAGAGAATCTAATAAAATAAACTCAAGGTTGGCACATAAACAACAAATAATTTAATGCAAGTTTTTTTAAAGTCAAAAAAATTTATAGTTGGACATAAAATTAAAGAAATACTGAGCCTATACATGTATTCCTCCAAGCAAAAGCTTCAGTGACATTGTTTTACAAAGTGGAAAGTCAAGTTTATGAAGCCAGAAATCATAATTAAATTAAAGAATACTAACCTTTCTGATATTTCTCTTGCTGAACTATGTGGTATAAGAAAATGAAAGAATACTAACCTTTCTGATCTTTCTCTTGCTGAACTATGTGGTATAAGTGGAAGCCCACAATAAATGGATGGGAGAAATCACCTGATGCATGGCATATCATGTGTTCCTTCAGCATTTGCTGAAAAGTTGATGACAGATCAATATATTCAACCGTAGCTGCAAAGCTCCCAAATCACAACACGATAAAAGCACATACTTTTGAAAATAAAAAAAAACTGTAGAAGAAACACAATGTGGTTTAAAAAATTTCAGCCATTAAAGTGAAGATGGATGAAAGTATGTCCCAGTGAACCAACTGAGCTCGTGATGCAAGTTTGGTAAGCTTTTTATTTTTCAATCTTGCAGATGGAATTCGGGGTTCAGATTTTTATCAGTCAGTTTTGTATTGCACATGAGTACACTCCCTCACCCACACACACATGCATGCTGATGTTAAGAGATGGCACCACTATGAAATATACAAAGAACAAAGAGTTCTGATTTAAACAAACACTGACCTCCATAATATTAACAGCCCTCTCTTCATGCAGTACTCCTTCCACATGACATATCAACCACTGCACAGCATCTGCACTCACAAATGTATAGCTTGGCAAGCTGGGATGATGAGTTAGAAAACCAACACCTGACGCTGTGTTTCGCATAGCTTCAATAATTTCTAATATTGTTGCTGTGCTCTTCAGTCGATGGATGTCAAAATGACTCTGACTGAAATAACAGTTTCAAAATTTCATTAATTATTTAGTACAGAATAATCAATCACGTCTTCAACTGTTCACAGGACACTACTATTACAGAACCTATTATTTACCATTACACATCATCATCCCACCATCACAGCAGAAATTCAGGGCATGATACAGGGTCAAAATTATCCAGTCGTTGTTGGTATGGAAATAATCACCTCCTTTTTTTCAAAGAAGTTCCCACTTTTTATGCAGGTTGTGTAGCAACCAAGCCTCCTCATCTCTATATTTGCATAACTTCTAATCCTCACTTTCCATCATGCTGTTCCCTTCTTTTTGTGTGACATCTTTCCTAATCTGTTGTCCACATCTTGATCTTGTTCTCAATCTCCCTCTTGGACATCTTCCTTCTAGTTTCATGTTCAGTACCTCCTTTATAATTCTCTCTTCTGTCATTCTTCAAACATGTACAAACCATTTTATTATCTTATTTATTAATCAGTCTTTAAAGAGGTAGATGTTGTATGATTACCGGTATTATACACAAGCAATCAAAAGGTTGCCAAAGGTAAAAGTTTCATTCCTACTGCACAAATTTCCAGTTCTAAAACATCCTCAATCTTGCTTGAAACTGGGGTTGACATTGGCAACATTACAAAGCTGGCCTTTCCCTTGCATTTTTGTTCCATGGGACCCTGCCCCTGCACTTGCTGCTCCAGTGGTTATGCCCCACAGAGCATCATCCCCCTTGTTAGGCCTGAACACCACTGGGCTACCTACCATAAAAGCTACTGATAAAACAAATTTATTAGCAAAATCACAATTTTTATAGTCTCTTGCTATTTCTGTACCTGTTATACTGCATACAAACTTTACTGTTTATTTTATATTTCAGCATTTTACGCAGTGCCCAGAACCTGTTTTCCAGATTATAGACCATCTTAAGGTCCCATTCCAGCATTTGTCTGTAAGAAGCAATGGGGGGAGGAATGAAAAACTGAAAATCTGTTATACTGCATACAAACTTTACTGCTTATTTTATATGTCAGCATTTTATGCAGTGCCCAGAACCTGTTTTCCAGATTATAGACCATCTTAAGGTCCCATTCCAGCATTTGTCTGTAAGAAGCAATGGGGGGAGGAATGAAAAACTGAAAAAAGAGCAGGAGTATTATCAACTCAATGGCTATATATGATGACTTGCCTATCATCTGTGGGGTCCTGATGATGTGGGGAGTCAGTTGTTTGCTGCTGCTGCTGTTGTTGTTGTTGCTGTTCAGGAGACACTGGCTGTTGACCTGAAATCTTGTCTCCCAAAGCTGCCTCGCTGGCAGGAGAGATGCGACCACTGCTACTTACTTCTGCCTTCACTCGCTCCATGACTTTAGAACGTGACCTAATGCATCAATTACAATAAATACAACTGAATGAATTGTAAACGGTTATAACTCTATCTGTATATCTGACATACATATGAGTTTCACTCGCTCCATGACTTTAGAACCTGACCTAATACATCAATTACAATAAATACAACTGAATGAATTGTAAGCGGTTATAACTCTATCTGTATATCTGACTTACATATGAGATGCATTCTAAAAGTAAGTTACACTTGCTAGGTGTTACAAAAGCTCTCTCTTATGTTTTTCTTAGCACAAAACTCAATTACCTCAACTGTAAGCTGTAACTGTAATATTTCACATTTAACAGTTGTAATTTCACTATAAATGCTACTTCTGAAGAATGTATTGGCATGAAATTCTCAAGTTTCTTCTCTTCTGCACACATGTCTTGGGCCTGTCTAACTTCTGGCTATACCCAAATATGGAAGACTAGAGATGTACCTTGAGAGAGTATCAGTCAAAAACTTAACATGAAAAATGAATTACCACTGTTGCAAATAAACTACTAAAGACTTCCTAAAACACTTCTAAAATTGGACACGTGGCAGTTACGTACAGAGCAAGGAAACTATTTAGGAAAATGAACAAACTGTGCACTCTGTTCTCAGTAGCATTCCTTTACAGTAAAATCAAACTTACTTTTACAATGTACCTCATACATCAATTTATATATGCAAAGGCAATGTTTAAACATAAGTATCTCAATTCTCTACTATTGTCTCTTGTGCTGACTGGTGAAGCACTCTTCCAATCCACCAAACCCAACTCCCTACCTACTACATGCACTTATAAGGCTTCCAAAAATACCCAACCATTATGTACTCATCCTGAAGATGGCAACTACAATGTTTGCCAAAACACTGAATAATTCAAAATTTCAACATCACTCATTTCAAAAAGCCTAAACTGTGCATTTACCAACATTTCAGAGGTCCTTGCTGCCTCCATCATCAGGGCGATGAGTAAGCCATGCGCATGGAAGTGGTTTGAGTTACAGCGACAACAGAATCTTTCAAAAACTTTTGTATGGGTTTGGCTTCTTGTAATAAACATACAAGACAAAAACTCTTCACTTACAAACACGAGACAATGCAGTAAACACACTTTGAAGTTCTCTTAACTTGTGAGAATAGAATACTGTAGAACAATATGCCTATTTTTTTTAATTTTCACTCAACACATGGCATTAAACACTTTTAGCGCATACAATAGCGGGGATCAGGTTAATACATATAAGAAATTGCAGAATTGTATAAACATGCAATACTCCATCTTATTCATGCCCCAATGTGTTTTGATGTTTTAATATTAAAATACAGAAGATAAAATTATAAATTACAGTCCCATTCTTTTAGCTATTAACATATTTTCTGTTATACAAAACACGTCAAATTATTACAAGACCTATGTATATGTACAGAATTTTCAAACTGAGAGTCTGAATACTTCAAAAATATGCCATATTAATAAAACTAGCAACTTACTCTGATAACATCTCTCTCTCACTCAGTCTGGGGTACATGGTTTTATGGAAAAGTTACAGTTACTCAGCTTGTAAAGAAATTCCCTGCAAGTTTTGGAACTAAAAGTGGATTTCCATGCATGCCTCTTGATTCAATCACCAAAGAACAGAATTCAGTTCAAATCTTCATATCCTGCACCCATAAGATCCATCTCAAAATTATCCTTTTCTCAAAGCTGAGTCTCCCAAGTTATTAAATGTATCATTTGAACACTTACAGTGGTTAAATCAAGAAAGAAAAGATGAGCCTGGAAATGTAGTATGGGTAAAATGAGAAATACAGTACATTAAACATTTTGGTTGGTAAACCACAAAGGAAAAAGACCACTTAAGAGACGTAAGCACAGAAATTAGGTATTAAGATGTGGACTGGATTGATCTAGCTCAGGTTATTGAGCAGTGGAGGGCTTTTGTAAAAACTATAATGAATTTCTTCATCAGCCAAGTCATGGTAGTACAACCTCTTTCTTCTCTTGGGCTAAGAATAGCTTTCCTGTTGGATCAAGGGCCAATAAACCCTTCCTGGCACATTTCTTAAACTAATAGCCAGTTTTCGTTGTTGATGAGAATATTTATTCATAAATTACAAATTACATGCTCAAATGTAAGTTTTATTGAAATGTAAAAAAATTACTATAGAGTTACACATTATTTTAAATTTTTTTCTCCAACAGCTTGTATCTGACACAATTCACAAGTGGTTTTGGGCTGGAAGTGGCCCGCAGGCCATCAGCTGGACTATGCTGAGGTAGGTAACTGTAACTTTGCACAGATGAGTCTGTACTACTGTGTTACATATGTATATTCAAGCAGATGGTAAAATGTGTCTTATGTGTCAGAAAACAGAAGCGCAATGCTATTAAAATGATGGACACAATGATACTGACCTGGTGGTATGTCGTTCAGCCATGCGATTAGAACCATGCTTCTCCTAGCAGAAAGAGGATACAGTGAGAAACAAAAGAGGCAGCAATTTTGATCAAACATCAAACATACACATAACTCCATACCAAGGTGAAATGGCCATAAAACAAGAGCACAAAAATTCAATGACATATTTTGAATCTGTACATGATTATTCACAAAGGCAGCATTACAGTTTAAACTGCATTCCCACACCAACATCAAAATAAAAATAATTTTATGCCAGTGTACCTCAAACTGTGCATCATGACATCCCATACCGAGTCACACCAAAAAGCATTAACAGATTCAAAAAAATGGCTAAAAACTTCTAAACTTTAGCTTAATAAATTCTTTTCCTAACTACCTTTCAATTTATGCAATTTAAGTGAAATTTAAATGACAAGCAAAAGTGCAGCATATGAATCTCTATTAAGCTATAGGCTAATGTAACTTCACCTCTATTAACCTTTAACAACTGTGTATTGTGGTTTATGTGCAAATGAGCTGTGTTACACTAGCATATTGTAAACTGCTCATCAGGCTGACAGTGTCATAGTACATGGGTTTAAATCTCCCATTTCTGTATGATAAAGGTTAAATTCCCACATTCAGGGTTAAGAAATGCTTTTGTAGATTACATCACAATAAAATGTTTATAGAGAACAATTCAAGCAACATTTAAATACTGTTATTTTAAAGCAATCAAAAATATGGTTGAAATAAACTGTGCATTGAACAAAATGTCCATGTTGCAAGGGCCATCTAATAAATTTCCAGATGGGTCTGAATTTGTTAAACTGTCTTACAAGAAAATATAATAAACTCAAGAAAGAAGATGCTTGCATTCTTGTTGGAGCCTACTCTTGCCTACATAGAATCTAGCGAGATCATTCTCAGAAGAATAAGGATCTGTCCCCAAGAGAGAACACAATTTGCAGCATTCCAGTATGGGGTCAGTACCCAGGTCTATCTCATTAAAACAAGCACATGAAACACAAAACCATATTAATAGCATTCATGAAGTTACACAACAAAAACAGGAATATACATTACACAAGAAAACTATAAAGCTGGAAATCTGAAAAATCTGTAGCCAATATTAATTTTGTGATATGTTTAAAATAAACAATTCTGTGAGTGCCATAAAAATGCAAAGGAGACAAAAACCACTTTCTTCGTTCAACACTAAATATTCTCTGTAGCTGGTAAATTATTGTTCAGACATGTAAAAGTAAAATGTATGTACACATGTCTATATGTAAAGTACTATTCTGCATTTGAACTGTTTGTATGTACAACCAGCAGATGTCCTAGCAAACTATAGTTCACACTTGGTATCTATTATAGCCAAAGCAGAAGGTAAGAGTGTAACTGAGTGAGACAGTGTAGTTTAGTGAAAGACTGACAATAGTGCATACAGTCTGTCAGTTGTGTCAATTTATAGGTTCTGGAGTTTAAAGTAAGACTGTCAACATAGTGTAAACATTTCACAGATAAGACATAACATTTCAATGCAAAGATCCTAGCATCATATTTACTAGTGTATTACACACCATGATTTCAGAATTAAATATTCCTGATATACTGAGGAGAAAGAATGCATCTTTCATGCCAGAAAATATACTAATTACAATATCTTCCCTCCTCCTTCCTAAAAGCCCAGAACAAAAATATCACTACATAGAACTACAATTCCAATTACTGTTTCATATAGATCCGAAACATGGTTTCTCCTTTGGAGGAAAGAACACAGATCAAAAGAATCCAAGAATAGATGGTCATGGAGAATTTCTGCATCTAGAAGAGACGACATAACAGGAAAATGCAGAAAATTACACACTAAAAGGTTTCACTATCCACTTAATATTTTTAGGGTTATTAAATACATGAAGACGTGACATGAATCATATATGGGGGAAACACAAAATGTATACACCATTTAGATGTAAAACCTCAAAGGTAGGCAACATTTAGGAGATGTAGGCGCAAATATAAAGAAAATACTGAAATGGTCCAAGATTAGATCCAATTGTGCACTCTGATGATGACAGTTATAAATTTAAGGTATTTCTCAGTCATCTGATTAACAATTGTTTAAAAAAGACCTTGTACAATAGAATATATTCCTATTTTCATAGAATAACTTCAGAGATACTTTATGGTACAAGATACTGAAAATGTTATTATTAGAAAATAAAGACATTTCTGTACAATTAATTTGTAAAGCCTACAAACAATCAGCCAACATTAAGCCTTCACCATGTTGATGAGGAAAGCTGCCAAGCTGAAACAGATTTTATCTTTACCTACCCACAAATCTTACTCATAACACAATCCATAATCTACTGTCTATAAGTAATGCCTTCACCATGCTGCTGGAGGAATAAACACAAGTTGATGAATATTACAATTTTGCACTTGAAGAAAGCTGGAATAGATATTAAATCAAGTGTGTGCAAACAAAAAGAAACCCATCTGCAACAAACCTCGGACGTGGCTTGTCGACAACACGGTTGCTGCCCAATCTTTCTCTGAATGGAGAATTGCCAACAACACTTGTCTGAAACCAAGGAAAAAGATGACTCTTGACAAGAGTGTATGCACGTTAACAGTTTATAAGTTATGCACATCACATACAGTGAGTTGGGAAACATGGTCTCTTACGCTGACAGAAGAACATAAATCACTTGAACATCATGGTCAAAAGGTTAGCAAATAACTTTATATTAGGAAGGACCTGGATTAGAATCTTGGCTTGGATACCGACTATCCTGACTGAAATTTTTTGTAGTTTTCTGTTACATCCAGAGCTAAGCTGGTTGTCCTGTAACATAGGGATTTAAATTCCCTATGCCCATACAACAAAGATTAATTACCGTTCTTTGTCCTGTCTGCAAGCTTAAAAACAGCTTTGTCCTACATCTTTCTTTATTTGGTTGGGGCCTCATAAATATTATATTAGTACAAAAGAGCTCAATGTATAGAACATTTTGGAAATAATGTTCTAATATAAATGCTTAAAACAGTGTAAGTACTTGCAGCAATATGAAGCCCAATGAAAATAGAAACATTCACAGCTAAGGTAATGTTGTAACTCATAAAAAAATATTACTGCTCTGCATTTAAACAGATTCATATCTGAAGCTTGTATATTATATTAAGTATTACACTTTTGATTAGTTACAACAGAATACACCATGTTCTTGTATGATTTATCATAATGGAATATACAAAATCCTAATAAGTTTTATTAGTTTATGGATGGGATGACAGGTCAGGAATGGAAATGTACCTGTGAATTATTCGATGGGTTACTTGTTGATGAGCTGTTACTGTGGGAGAGGAAAGTCAAACTGGAGCTATGGCGACGATGTATCAACTTTTGTCGGCCCTTGCTTCCTGTTGAAAAGCCAGGGCTCTGTAACATAGGCATGCAGTTGGCAAGCAAAGAAGACAGACAAGCAACTCAGATCTACTGTATGTTCTAAAACAATGACAACAAATCTTCCCAGTCAATGCCTTAATATTTTAGCCTATAAGCTACATAACCAAAACTGAAATCTATATGCAGCAAGACTTGAACACAAACAAACGCATTCTTTGCAATTTTGAAACCAGAATCTTTATGTTTATTCAATGTGGACACGTATTCTGCTAGCAGAGGTAATCATCAGAACAATACATTATAATAGCATGGAGACATACATTTTATTGCTGGCAAACCTAATTAATAGTACAGGTATTTGACTGCACAGAGGCAGAAAGTATGTCCTTATATTCTATTAAATACCACAATATCAAAAAATTCCAGGCAAATTTTACAGATCTTAACAAGATTTATATCATATCTCTGATGTCACATGCTAATTTTTGTAAACTGAAGATGGAGGTAGTATGTTCCTCAAAAACACTGATCTACCTACACGTCCACATGGTATTACGACACAGTAGTCCAACATCAATGTGTTTTAGAGAAATTTGATCAACTTCTATTTGAGCTTTATGTAAGATGATATTCAATACAGACAGATATATATATGGGAAAAAACTAAATTCATCCTGAAACGCTTCATTCACACCCCTCAATACCAAATTTCATTGTAATCTGTTAAAAGTTTTAAGGATCAAATATGAACACAGACACACACAACTTCTCCATTATGTATTAAATTAATGCACCTTGTGCAAAGAATGTAACAATGGAATGTAAATGGCAGAGTGTTACCATATAGCCAGAAATAAAATGCAATAAAATATTTCTTGGTTCATAAGAGGAAGCAAACAATCATGTGTTTACTTATGCTTCTGTCGAAGAAAGACAATCATTATGCCAATTCTTCAAACAAATAACCACTCTGGTGCATGATTATGAAAACAGTTATAGACTAATTAGTTACCACTAAAAAAAAGAGATTTTTTTTCTTTTCTTACTAGAATATATGACTGAAATTTTCAAAGGATTTTATCATAAATCTTAAAAATGTTACCTTGCTTTCAATTCGTTTCAATAAATAGCTGGTATTCATTTAATTAATAAGATATGTTGGAAGAAGATCCTCCACCTGACTGTTACACATTTAAAATGACCTCCACCCAAAGAGAAAAAAAATCTATCATTCCACCAACATACCTTGTTATAACAATTATTTAACTTGAAATATCTTCAATTAAGATGATAACCTAAATAAAACCTATTATGCACCAGGCCTGTTACAGTTTCATGCCATCTGTTCAATGGTCTTCCTACACTTCTCTTCCCTTCACATGCTAAATGAAATCGGAAATAAGATATTGTCTTGCTGACTGGCTGCTGCTGGCTGAGAAGCAGTGAGTTTAACTGTATGGATAGTACCTGCAGTTAATTTCTGTACAGACTCTGAGGTGGCATTCCCCCAGCACCAGTGGAATGACATTCCGCAATAACTTAATTTCTCATGATTGAAGAATTCAAAACTACCTTTGCTTAAAAAAGGTCAATTGGGAAGATCTGTCATAAAAAAGCATGCAGCATCCAATTACAATACAAAGAAATTAAGAAATACTATATGATTCTAATTAATCCAGTGTTAATGAGTTCATCCAGAGTGGCTCTAACAATATTTTTTATAGTATATTCCTTTTCAATCATACCTTATTGACTCCTATTAAAAAAACCTAGCACTGTTAGGGTATAAAAATAAAGGAGATGAACTAGACGTGTAGTTTCGATGGGGAGACAAACAAATGTAGTGTTTTGGTAGAAAAACCTCTTGGAAAGTGGCCACTTGAAGACCAAGAAGAAAGAAGATGGGAAAATAACATTAACTCTCATCATCCATGTTCCAGATGACCATGCGTTACACCAGCATATCACTAGACCATTAACCATGGAGTTAAAGTCTGGCTGGCAGCGCCTTAGCATAGGTCTTTAAATCCCCTATTCCTACAAAATGAAAGTTAAGCTGTATCTTTTGGAGCTAAATTCTGAGACTGGGAGGTTTGGAACTGGCACAAGATCACGTCAAATCATGGATTTCAGTATTAATGCTGTTACAAATTTGGATTCTATTACTAAACAGAAAGTTACTTAATCAGTATGCATGATTTTGCTTAAATTGTAGATTACTGAATGATAGTGTATCAATATTTAGTGTATTATGAAATGTAATGATGATGATGATGATCACAACTGTGAATTGGAAAGGATATACGAGGCAGCATAAGTGGCTTATTTTTGAGGTATTATCCCACCAAATGCTGGAAATCCAAAATGACCTGTTAAGATAACTCATCTTCAGGATTAATTTGAAGATTTGCTTTCTAAATACATGTGAGATGCCCATGCATATGGACCTGTACTTCCATGTGAAGTCTGAACACAATCTGCTACAGAAGCAGCCTATGCCGAAGATGCTCATTCACTGGGTAAGGACCGTTTGTGATGCTGAGAGCCTAGACAAGGAAATCAACCACCTAAGGAAAACCTTTAAACAAAATGGACACAGCAGCTGTTCTGTCAAGCATACCCTAGCCACAAAACAGAAGCCACAAATACAGATTGAGAAGCTGACAAGTGTATCATTAATATAATTTCAAAGTGGCCTCACACAAAATCAGCAGGCTCCTTGCCAAATACAACATCATAACCATCCACATCCCAGTCAAGATGAACAACAATGGGTGGACCTGTTTAAGGCAAAATGGTCCTAAAAATTGCAGGCATATACTGTGTCCTCTGCAAATTCAGCGAAGTCCATGTTGGAAAGACTGGCAGATCCATCAAAACCAGATGCAAAGAACACATGAGACGCATACATATGGGCCAGCCACAGAAGTCAACCATGGCAGAGCAGAGATTTGACACAGGACATAACATCAATTTCAAGAGCATATACATGCTGGATAAGGCCACAGGATACATGGACTGTGTAATAAAAGAGGCTACTGAGTTCAGGCTCTACCTTAAAATTTTAACAAGGGCAGCGGTTTCACTCTGTCAGTCAGTCAGTCCTCGTACCTGGTATCTAACATTCTGAAACAATACAGAACCAAATCAATCCAGAAGCAAGGCTAAGCTAAGCAAGAACTTGACTCTGCCCATTAGCACCCACCAGTTCACACTCAGCTTCAAAGACAGGCGCTGGACAAATATATATGTGGGCCAGTCTGGATGAACTGTTACAGCAAAACCTGTTGATAGGGACAGAGGTAGTCCCTGAAATGCTGATTTTTAATGAACTGATATGGCTGACAGCCCAGAAATATTTTATTAATGGAGATATCAGTTAAAGGAGATTGCTGTTAGAATAGCGTGTATTAAAATCTATACCAGTATTTACATGGAGGGAATGACTGAAGAAAACTACAACCAGTATTTACCTGGAGGGAATGACTGAAGAAAACTACAAACATCTTTTGTCAGGACAACTAGCCCCCAAGCTCACCCAGGACAACAAGAATACAAAGGAGTGTTAATTACTTGACCATAACTATGGTCACTTACACTACAGCCAGTGGAGTCCCACAGGAAAAGTGTTCCTACAATATGCATGAAATTGTGGTTGAGTGGTATTCATGACAAAAAAGGGGTGTTAAAATTGTTACAAGCATTATAAAAATGTATCTGTAATGTTCACTAACAAAGAAAGAAGTGTCACATCAAGTTCTAATTAACTAGCATAACTTCTTAAGATCAATAAAGCAATGCACACAAGCAATTTAAATTAAAGAGAGATGCAGATCACGGTTTTAATTAGCATCTTAAAATATATGACATATGATGCTACATTCAAAACAAGAAATCATACTTCAAATTAAAAGTAAAGCTCAAGTTACATCTCAAAACTAAACTTACAGCACATATAAAGAATAAACTTGCAACCATATACTACATATTTACAAAATCAAACTTATGTTATCTGTAAAATAAGATCACTACACATTCAGTTGTGTAGCATTAAAGAAATATTATATTTACAGCATACCATTCCAAACACAGATTTGTAACATATGTATAAACATGGGGGGGGGAAACTCTTGCAAAGTGAGATTTCAGTGTCTCACAGTGACAAGTGTAAAGATGGCTGGCTTCTGGGCACTGCATATTGTGGTAGAAATTCAGTGACATTTCAGAGATGTTTGCTGACTCCATCATCAGGGACAATGCCCTGATGATGGAGTCAGCACCTCTGAAATGTCACTAAACTTCTATCAGACTATACAGCATAATGACCCATAAGACAGCCATTTTCATGCTCTTCCCAAATAAATAAATAAAAAATTATAGAAAGAAGACAGCCATTTTCATTCTCTTCTCAAATAAATAAATAAAAAATTATAGAAATTACTCCATGCTTTAAGACGAAACAAATACTCATAAGAAGTATGGAAAAAGTGGTTGGTCCTACCCTTGGTTTCTTGCAGGTATTTGGACGGCGAATTCTATTCACCCAAGACTCAAGAAATCGTAAGAAGTTTTCCACCATATGACCCTGATCCTCAAGGGAAGGAAGTGTGTAAATATCACAGTGGTCAGAACCTTCTAATATCTTCTTTGTAGCCTGATGATTCAGTGGAAGAAGATAAACACGAAAGCGCCAGTACTTTTGGGCCTTTTAAATAAAGAGAATATTGTTAGTAAAATAAGACAGATTTATGAACTGTAAACTGAATAAAATTCTGTTAATTCCTTTTCAGTTTGGCATGAGTTCAAGTTCAAAGTTGAAGAAATGTGCCTACTGTGAGTAGCCTCTTTGCGCATAAAGAAATTCTACACAGGCTGAATGGAATTTCAAGTAATCTTATACTGATGGATCTTACTATACTCATCATTTCACATACTGGCTCCAGTTCCCAGGTTAACTTCACATGGAATAATGTAAAACAAGATAATTGCATTTCCTCATATCACTAACATATTACAGAATGAAAAAACTTAAATCAAAAACTCTGATGTATGATTTATGTGAGGAGTTATGAAAATGGTCTATTGTGCAAAATGTCATTGTATACATAACCTACCCACATAAAAGAATCATTTTCTCCAATAAATTTTATAGTCTGTATATAGACCTAACAGTTAAGAAAAGACAATTTCTTTATCACATTTAAGCTTAACTCAATTGTCATGCCACACCTTTAATTTTCCTTTCTGCACTACAGTACTTCATATCTTGGTTCACATGGCTGGAACGTCACACCATAGATCACATGACCTATAGCAACAGCGAAGAACAATTCTCACTAAACTATGCCAAATGTAATGCTTTCCTACTTGCTTCAGATTTTATACCTGTCTATCCCTTCTGGATGCTGGAAACTACATTTTTCAGTGTTGACTCCTTTCACACACACATCATCCACAGGAACTTTACTTTACAGTGAAAATGAAGGTAAGTAAATCATATGAGGACATGAATGTTCCTTTACTTTACAGTGAAAATGAGGGTAAGTAAATCATATGAGGACATGAATTGTGCAATGAAAGATTGCAATATGGTAAAATCTTGGCCCACTGTAAGTTTCAGTAACGTCATGATATAGTCAAACGTAACACCTTACCTCTGCAAGGGCAAAATCTGTATCTCCTCTTGTACAAATGTAGTGATCCAGATAGTTCCAATTAAAATTTTCTAATTTCTCTGTTGTGAAAGATACCCATGATATTTCATAGTTGTCATGATGAGGGGCATGAAACCGGTAACGATAATGTATATTAAAAGGAGGGTATGGATGTCTGAAAGCAAAGAAATGTTATGTTGATTGATCACTGGTTTATTAACAATGTTTTCCAACTGCATAAGTTATGTATTATTTATCAAATGATAGGATGAATTTCAAACTGGCAAAGATGTGGAACTGTTCATTGGGTACCAAAAAGAACTATAAAAATTCACAACCATGTTAGCCACATAATTACGAATGTCGGCGCTCTCACATTCTTCCAAGTACAAGATACAAGACATTTAGACAATTGTCACTTCCTAACACATGGTTAATATTCATAATATGAATTAATTTTTAAAATCATCGTAAGAAATGTGGATGTGTTCCTCTCTCATACACTATCACCGGTTAATCTATCAACCCCTCTCTAGGAGAGATTATCTCTTCTTCTCTCCCTGTGTATCTCAAAAGTCCTGTTCGTTAAGTCTCAAATACATTTCAAATGGTCACAGATATCACTGTAAGTACTTTTACAAAGTGCCAGCACAGCTCAGTCAGTGTGGTGACTGGCTACAGGCTGCACAACTGGGTGCAAGCAGAACAGCTCTGAAGTCAACCCACCTTCTATCTAATGGGCACCAGGGTAAAGCAGCCAAAGCATGAAGCCAAACACCTCCAACTAGTTCTGTGATCTGGAATGTGTGAAGCTTTACATCCATGTCCTCATACCAAAATGCTTACATATAGGGACAATGTGTCCTTAGTCTAGGTACCTTGTATATTTTTATAACCACTTATTTTGTTTTCCTCTACCTATTAATCAATCCAAACAGTCAATCAATGTTTCTTTCCAACTATCTATGTATCCATCCATCCATACATTTACGTAAAACAAACCCCTATAAAATAAAAATAAACTAAAACTCAGATTACCTGGCAACAAAAAGTGTACACTTCCAACACCAAATTCTTAAAAACTTATCAGGTGTTTTGGGAGCTGAAATATGCAAATTAAAGAAGATACACAGCTTCTCCATTCACATTTAAGTCATGCACTGACTCCAAAGCATGTGGCAAACCAACATACTGTATGAGATTTAAGGTTCACACAGTGACACTGTCAATGTTGTTCTGGGTTGCAGTGCCCTAAAAATGGAGAACGGATGCTTCTCCAAAATGTTGGTATCTACCTATAAGTTCACACAGTGCCATAACCCAAAAGAACAAAACTGACAATATACTGTATATTATAAAACAGAAAAATACCTGGGTCTGTATCTTCTAACAGTAATAGATGATCCACTGAGGGATATCTTGTGGAACACTCGCCCAATGCTGAGAAAATATTCTTCAGTTGGTTCAATATCACAAGGACGAGACATCACAGGTGAGCTTATAATACCAGCTGTGGCAGAGGTGGAATTACTGCCTGGTGTCTGTGCCTGTTTCTTCGGATTGTGCTCAGACAACACAATCAACTGGAACCCCTAAGAAGTAAACAATATAAAAATAAAGATATAAACAAAATAACATGTCCTACTATACAAACACTCGCAACTTATTCTTTTGCCTATATTTAACAGAAAAATAATTTATTTTGTAACTTGTGTTTTCTAACTTTAAAAAATGTTTTAAAAATATAAATGCTTTATTAAAGCAGTAAACATTCCCAAATTAAAGCATACTGAGAATTATTAAGCACCAGGTCTTCAATAATAACTTGCCCTAGCTACTATTAAAATATTAATGGTATACAACATTATATTAATTCATTAGCATGTCATATCCAACCTGAGCAAGTCTCTGTGAAACCAATTCTTTAAACACTTCTGCAGTGGTTAAAGGCTTTTTGTAGATTGCCCTCTGCTGAGCAAAATCTGCATTCACATCATCAGGCAGAAGATTGTAGTCAGACACAACATAGTCATTCTGAAGGCTGCGCTTGTCGGGAAAGTAATCCGTGGTGATAGGTAGACACGCTGGAATGGTAAGGGACTTCCACAGTCCACACCTAAACAAAATAAAACACACTTCATAGATATTATTAACTTAAATTGGCCTTCAAATAAGTGCAACTGTATAATTTTCATGAAAAAGTCTTTTAAATGAATGATGAAATGTATAAATGAGGGAATAATAAGTAACAGTTATTTAGTTTGAAATTAATAACATTTTAGCTTAATGTTACAGCTACATGCTTATTAAAAACAAAGATTTCATTTAGTTAAAAACACTTCTTATACTACGTAACAATGATTCAAAGATTTTATGTGGGCAGAATACCAAATAACTTGGATATTTTGACAATGTAAAAACAATTTATAACACTTGTTTTCTCTGTTGTTATGTATTACTTAGGGCAAAGAACAAATTATGTTTCATAACACAGTATATATACCAACATTTTGAACATCCTTTCACCTTACATTACTTATTTAGAAAAATAACGAGGTTTCCTGTTTCACATATACATGTACATCCATGCATTTATCTCCCACTAAAAACTTTTGAAACAAATATCCAGTCTCCACTGATTTTAGTCATGCCAGTAGAGGTTTCTATACATTCATAATTTTTAATTCTGTATTATCAAAACTACTAGAGCAGCAACTGTGCTAAGTTCCAAGATGGGGGTAATACTTGTGTCATTCAATGCATACCCTAATATTTTGTAGAGTACTAGATCTTTGATGAATATGCAACTTTTGCTCTAGCAATTTTTTAGTAAAATACAAAACAATGTAGAAATCCCTGGGCATATGAAATTAGGCATGGCATGAGATCATAAACACACCTACAGATTCCACATGGAATATATATGTTGTCCCCAAAGCTATGAACATGACAATTATCATTCTACAATTTCAGATTAAAATACAGGTCTTTCAGGTACTCAGTTGGAACTGCAATGGTGCAAAATATTTGTACTAATGTAACAAAGTGCTGTGTAATTATTAATTTATGTTCTCTCAGTTCTGATGGCATCACCTAGCAAATGAAAGTATTTTACGGCATGTATACAATATAGTTATTTTCCTAATTTTCTTTCGGCTTACATACAGTAGTAAGATAAATCAATATCTTATCACAAGAATTAACAAGAAATTCTGAAATGCATGACACCAGAAATGCCTGCTGGTTATTCAGTAGAACAGAAGGTAAAAAGCACCCTTGAAATGCAGATGTAAGGAAGAAAATTAAATTCTGATTTATACTCTACTTCTGGAAATGTTTACATATGCATGTAAAAATGTCAACAAAAGTTAACATGTTTCTGATTCACTTTCTTATACTTAAAATGTCATCATTTTTACATTCACTAAACTTAATTTTCACTCAGAGATTCCTTAAGTAATGTGTCTACTTTATATACATATATATAGCTATTCACATGCACTCACACACACGTGCGCACACACATGCACACACCTTCTCTTACCAACACACACAGTATACTCCCAATTATTAATAAAGAAATTATTTTATTTATAAACAAGATAATTCTGGACTATTCACAATTTAAATTATTCATGCTGCTTCTCTCTCCAATTAGCACAAATAATATTGAGAAAACTGTAATGGCTCATGAACATACTCTACAGAAATCAGTTCTTCCTGTAAGATAAAAAAATGCATTGTTATATTTCAGATAACTAAACATGTAGATAAACACATACACAAACATGTATGTGCACACATGAGCGCACATGCACACACACTCTCTCTCTCTCACTTCTTCATGATCTAAAACAAAATCTACTTGTTCCTGCAGCAGACTGCATGTAGGCCAACTGCTTCAGGAAGAAATCTGAGTTGAACAACAACACAATTCATGAATTCTTCTTCCCTGTACCATTTTTTATATGCATCATGCACAAAGAATTAAAAGCATTTAAAAACAGAAGGCAAAAAATATATATATTATAGGACAGCTTATATTTCAAACCTTCTGGGTCACGAACACCTTCCCACTAAAGTGTTAATTTTATAATGCATACCAGATGTCAGGACTCCAGAAATATAAAATCTTCTTAAAACAGAATCCCAAAAGACCTGAATACTGTCTGGTTTCTGTTGAATACACTTACTTCAGATAAAATATTGTATAATATACTAATAATCCAAAATACATGAAAAAAATCCATAATGTGTGTAATGTGTATTGTGAAGTTTCCAGTTTTATTTCTTTTTTTCGTTTCTCCTTAATTTTCTTTCATTTTTACTTCTGCCATATAAATATATTTTATACACTTCTTTCCCATGTGTGACTAACAAATCCTGTATTTTACATTTGTGTTTACTCTATATTCTTGGAACAAGAAAAAATCTCTGACAAAAAGTAGGTTTCCATTTAACTCCGATCCATTTAAATTAAAACTAAATATGTACTCACCACCGGTTGACAACATAGCATGGGTAAGCATATTTCTGGAGCCTTGCCAATTGCCAGCCCAGCAATATGGATAGAACACCAACTCACTTATGCTTGTCTTTTAAAGCTGCTTATTATGATACTTAGGTGAGAGAATGAATGCTTGTTACTGAACGGATGTGACAATCCTTCTCATAATCACAGAACCAAGAGTGTTTTTAAAAAAAAAATATATATAAATAATTGGGTTTCAAAAACTTTAATCAGCACACCTCTTTATAAAAGTTTTGTTCAGCAATTACGCTGCAAATCAATACAACTGAAAGCATAGAGAAAATATGTAATGAAATATGTACTATTCTAGACCACTTGGAGTAGAGCGAGCAAAACTATATTTTATGTAATACCACACTGGATGTTAATTGCACAAGAGTTGGTGTACTCACTAAATTGAGTACTTAGCTTTATGTCCACTGGCCTGATTTCCGTTGTTGGTCTATGGTTAGCCATGGCTGCGTTGTCTGTGCCTGTGAACTTCAATGGTTTTGTAAAGTGCAACCTGTTATGCTTTATAATAAACCATTGTTTTATGAATTGTTTGATTTAATATGAATTAATCTGTTTGCCACTGATGATGACCTATCGAGGTCAAAACGCGTTTGGCACTAAGTGTTTTATAAAGTGAAAACAGTTTTGTTTGAATGCATGATTTTATATATCAATACACTGCACGGTATGCAGGTTTCAAGATTAACAGTAACAAGCTTCATATGTGGATAGGAGTAGTTTAAAACCCAAACAACAAGCAACTTCACTGATAAAAAATTTATAAATTAATGAGAACTTTTTCATGTTTTGAATATTACTCTGGTGGATCGTGACCCACAGTTTGAAAGGTGCTGATCTACTCTACCTCCTACTACAGCAGATTTTGAAATACATTTCCAAACCTATGATAACTTTGCTGACTGATTGATTGCACACGATCACACGTCCCACAGACAGACATGAAAAGGAAAACAAAAATTACACTCATTAGCCTCAAAAGCTAGCACATAATTACAATAACATAAAATTAACATAATGTATGCCTTCTGCACATATGGATATAAATAACATAAACACAACAGGCTATGACAAGTTGATGATTATCTTCTGCTACACAACACCCAGTCAATTAAAAGTTAAGTATCACTGATATATTTCACATTCTAAATAGTCCATACTCCTCCCACAAGATCTCCATATAGATATGAAACATGCACACAAACATGTTTTGGATAAAAATTAAAAACTAACTAGCAGAGAATGCATTACTCTTTCAAACATCATATATCATATATCATCAATTAATTTCACAACTGACTGACACACTATGTATGAAATTTTTGTACTATTATAAATGAAGTCAAACACTACTGTCACTTACAGTGTAGATCCAAAACGAATAATAGAATGATTCAGAAAAGATAATAAAAACAGGTGGAACAAAGATGAATAATCTGAGGACAAAATAAAAATCTAATATAATGAGGAAGCCAAGTATTTGGAAATAAAGCAAGTAGGGTCCAGCATCATTCAAGGTAGGTAAGGTCTCTTACTGAAGAGAATGACAGTGAATTATAAGTACTTAAACACATCAATTTTAAAACCAATAGAACACTCACATGAATGTAAATAATGAAATACTTAAAACAAGTACGTTTATATCACAAGAGAGATTTTGCAGGATTAAAGACAAGTACAATTCACAGACACTGGTAAAATAATGTCCAAAAGCACATATTAAAAATTATGCAAACTAATGTTCAAACCTAGGAAGACATGGGTATAGGGTAAGACACAAGAAATTAATGTAAGGGGCAAAAGTATGATAACTTATTGAATATACATGGACGGAAATAATAGACATACAAGATAAACTCAAGTCAGATAATAAGTTCAAGAGATTACTGCATACAGGAAGAAATAATAGAAGAATGCACATAGAATAAGAGCAGACAGCACAGAATTATAAATCTGTAGAGTGACAAGTTCCAGAAAGACCAACATGCTACAAAGATAATATTTAAGCTAGTGCAGGCATTAAGACTCCAAAGAAATTTCATTTGAGAGCATATTACTTACTACTTGAAGCACATGAACACTGCAATCTGTAAGAAATTTCATTTAAGAGCATATTACTTCTACTTGAACACTGCAATCTGGTGATATTTCAAGTTCTCATGGCGACAAGTATGAAGAAGACAGTCATCAGGGATGCTGCACCTTGTAGTCTGGTACAAACTGACCAGCATTTCAGAGGTGTTCACTGCTTCCACATCAAGGTGATAAGGATGATAACTCATCACCACAATGACAGGGGCAGTAAGCACTTTTGAAATGTCAAGTCAATTTCTCCAAGACTATAAGGTGCAGCATCCCAGAAGGCAGCCAAACTTCAAATAAACATGCAGTCAATACAATACAAAGGAACCTGCAGTAAATACGTGAACTACACTGTAAAAACACACATTATAAATAATAAATAACTACAAACTCAGCTACACATTCTCAAAATAAAACAATTATATAATTCACATTGCAATAATGTGGTCATGTTTAACACACACTAGTTTAGCATTTCTCAACCAGAGGACCATGATAACTTGTAACAGTGATTGCAATTACAAAAATATTTTACTCTACACACACAACAACTGGCACATTTGCCAGAATTTGACCTTTGACGAGTGGGAAAGGCACCAGTGATGTTGTGTGTCAGGTGTCTGGTGCCTATCTGGCAAGGTAAAGGCATCACCATGAAGGAAGGACCCCTAAGAATTCTCACATAGTTGCATGATTCATAGGAGAGTCTCCACACAGGGTGTCCCACCCAATTACTTAAATGCACAGAAACTTACAGAAGTCTTCAAATAAAGTGCCCATTATTAATACACAATATCCAATTTAACCAGTGTGTGGATAAATTTTAAAACTGCATAATGAGCAGCTTAAAAATCTGTACTCCTCCCCCAATATTGTCAGGGTGATTAAGTCAAGAAGAATGAGATGGGCAGGGCATGTAGCACGCATGGATGGGACAAGAGGTGTGCACCGGGTATTGGTTGGGAAGCCTGAGGGGAAGAGACTGCTGGGGAGACCTAGACATAGATGGGAGGATAATTTCAGGCGGGATCTATGGGAGATAAGAGTTGAAGGAGACTGGATTTTGTTAGCCCAGGACAGGGTCTGGTGGAGGGCTTTGGTTAATTCGGTGATGAACCTTCGGGTTCGGTAAGCCATCTAGTTAGTTAGTTAGTGGATAAATTTTACTAAACACCAAAACATCAAATCTCATAAAACTCTATTCATCTACTCTGGTGTTATTACATGTGGATGGACACACACAAAAAGAAACATTTTGAAAGTCAATCCAAGCTCATACAAGGTAAGCCACAAGAGATTTTTCTTTCTTAAAGGAGAACAGTGTTGTTAAAAAGACAGGGAAACAATTTAGCAAAGAAAGTTAAATACATTTTAGCACACCATATTAGAGAGTAAATTATGATCAATATCATGCTATCAAACATAAAGGCTACTTTAGTTTAATCTGACATCACATCACACATTATTGGGATACAACAAGAATAAATGGTATATGAATTTACCACTGTTCTTTCCAATATTTTCTTGTAACACTTGAATAAAATTAGAAATTTGAATGACATGACTTCCAACATTACAGTGGCTTTTGGACTCATTCAAAAATGCAATGTGAATACACCAGCACTGAGTTGTATATTCTCATAACATAGCAGATAAAAGCTGCATGTTCTGACAGTAGTTAAAATATGTGTATTATGAAATTTGTTAGTATAATCCAAACTATATACTCACCATGATGCAAGTTACAATGTTCCATTTGTGAAGAATGCTTATACACAAGACATGTAAGGGGGAGGGGGGAACATTATAATAAAAGTAATCACTTTTATGTACTTTAAAAATTACCTCACAAATGTACTGCAGTGTATCAGACTAAAATTTGTGAATTTCCTGCGTTTATGTGAAAGTCAATGTAGTGATGTCCAACAGAAACACATACCACAACATTTTATGTGTAAGTCAATGTAGTAATGTCCAACAGAAACACATACCACAACATTAATTTAACAACACCATTACATGAATGTCCTCAAGGATTATGACACTGATAATGTACAGAAGTGCAATGGTGTACTTTAATTTTCAGCACACATATTTGATAAATGCATTTTTTGCAATTCTGAATACTACATTGGCCTTGATGTTTGTTAAATGCAAATAGAAATTTATTGTTGCAGAGCTACTCACATTACAAATATTACACTGTATAGTCATTATGTTCCTTGTATTTTTAAATACATATATGAGGAAAAGTATTTTCAAGCAAAATATGTAATGCATAATAAGACGTTACATACATAATGTTCTACTTATTTATGATCTGCTATTTTTGAGGGAAGTTATGGATTCATTTGAATTTTATGTAATGTATGCTTCTGATACTATACTGGACAAACACATATACAAATTATTTGTTTAACATCCTTTAGTACAGAAACTGTTAAGTAGTTTCAGGGATAATCAAACAAGCCTCTGCTCTTTGTTCAAAGAACACATACCAAACATGACAAAATTTTTAAAAATTCCATCTTTAGAATATTATTTTAATTTTCTAGCCTCTTCTGACCATGCAAGGTTGAAAGAATACATTTCTGCTACATAAGTACCAGTTGAGCAAAATTTCACACCTCAGCATGTATTGTAATTTTAACCATGTCAGAGGTAAGAGACAGAGTTGGCATTCAGAAAATCTCCACTAGATCCATAAAATAATTTGGGAAACAGTCAATATATTATCCTTAGACCATCAGGTCCCCATGTATAATCATGTCAGTATTAAATCTAGATCACTAGATAAAAAAATTAGAAGAGTTGTTTGAATGTGCACTTGAAAAAAATGTGATGACAAATACTAATTGAAATACAGTAGTATAAATTATATGCTCTATTATTAAACTCACCTGTAGTGAGAGCAGGAGTCCATTCTTGCTCACCAGTAGCTCCCCAGAGTAAAGTCAAACTCTTATTAGTTTGAATAATATTATCACCAGATATTGATGGAACAACACCTGGACGCCCTGAGGATCGATTCTTGGAATCTGAAATACAAGTTAATAAAACATGACATTGTTGTAGTGTAATAACAAACCCTGCAAGATAATTCTTCGTTAATTAAATATAGCAAAATCTGTCTCATATGAAATCTACCAAAATTAAAAAAAGATTTCAGCTTTAGCCATTTGCTACCCTGATTTAAGATATCAACTTGGCAATGTCTGTGTATATTCCAGTATAAAGAGATCTTGGCCCAGAGACTGGCTATCCTGATTGAAGTTTTTGTAGCTTTATTCAATCTGTCAAGGCAAATGCCAAGATAATACCCCAAATTAGATCAAGGCTGCTTCCTTCCATGTCCTTTCCTATTCATTATTCACTATCATTCAACACTACATAGTCCGAGATGCTGAAAGTGTCATTAAAAATTATACACAGACAAATATAAAGAGAATTAATTGGTATTTATATTTAGACAGCTATAGGTAGTAGGAGGCATGTAATACTTACTGTCATGAAATGTAATCTGAGAGCCTGATCTTGGTAGTGAACCAACTGGGGTAGAGTTTTCATTGCCTGGAGATGTACTATATGTAGATCCAGCCTCATATACATGTTGGTCTGGGTTTGAAACAGCTGGAATAGCCTGGTAGTGATGCTGTTGGATAAGCACCCCAGTAGGTCCTACAATAAAATGAATACTCCATATAATGGATCTCTGACCACCCAAATACATGTGATGCAAATACTAATTAAAATATCTCTCTATACAAGAAAAACATAACCATAATATGTGAGATGTGATAATACAAAGTGTCTCCAAGTACGCAGCTCTGTCAACAACAGTACAAAATAAAGCCCATCTTTGGTCATAAATATACTTATAAACTTCTAACACACTCTCTTGTGTGTCACAAGTTACAAATATGCCATGCCAATGATGTGGATGTTTGAGGTTGTAACAGACATCTTTGAGATGAAAAAAGTTAAGTAGATCACAAATGGTCCTTGTCATAATTGAACTGACAAATAAGATCATGCATACACATAAATAACACTGCTCCTTCAATAGGTATTAAAACAAATTCTCTGCATTATCCAAATACATATTCTGGCAGTCACTTAGCAAAGCATGCATATCATAAACATATATTCAGAAAAATACTAAAAGATCCATTTCAGTACAATTCACCTTTCTACAAAGTTCCCACAACTAATGAGTTTCCCGAAGAAAATTCTATACATGTTTGATTTTGCTACCTACACACACACACACACACATTACTACAAAGAGAACAATCGAGAACACTGAGCAATAATTGTTACCTTTGGGAAAGATATGAGTCCAACGTCGCCTGTTGGATGTGAGCTTAATGGTGACATGAGATGGATCGAAAGGGTTGATAAGAGCCCGCCCAGGCCGCAGAATATCGGTCTGGGACTGCAACGGGTTATTTGGAGATCCAGCACTTCCAACAACTGGGCGATACGGAGGGGACATTTCTGCTTCTGGAGCTTCAGTTTGGACACCAAATGCCCTATGCTTTACAGCTAAGGAGAAAAGAGTATAAACTGATGCTGACAAAAACTACCTTTACAAGGATATCTAACCTACACATTAAGGACTTTTAGATGACATGCACTCACTTATCAAACAGAATAAGTAACTCAAAATGTAATATAAAAATTATATATAACAAGGTGTCTCTCACATAATACAAAAAACATATGAATCTATAACATTGAGAAATATAAAGACTGAAAGAACAACATATTCATTCCTTGTGCTGGAACCAACTTATCAAATACATAAGAAGATGTAATAAAGATAATGGCTGTCTTCTGGGTTGTAGCACCATGTAGCATGGTACAAGTGAACCAGACTACATGGCACACTGATAAACTCAATTATTATTATGTAATAAAGATGTAACTCCACATTGAAAATTATACCCTTAAACGTTATGAATATGACATAGCAGATCAATTTTATGAAGTTACTAATACTGGACAGTTACTTGCTCTTAACACTCTGTGCACTATCAAAGAGCCTCCTAACTCTTGGACAATGAAAGGACAACGAATTACCCCTTAAGTCTGTCTACCTTTGGAAAACCACCCACCTGTAAAAGAAACGTGTTTAAATATTTAAACATCTAAGCTCTAAATCAGAATAGGCAGACACAATTTAAGAATGTATGCAACATAATCCATTCACCAAAAATTTAAAAATCTGTTACAAACAACTTACCTTTTAGGTGTTGTAAGACCTTTGATACAACATCGATTCACATGTAATTTTAAAGCACAATATTCTACATATTCAGGATCAGTCAAAACAATCTTTAGTAATAATTTAAATAATCCCATGGGAAACAATTTGATGGTTTTTGTCTTTGTTATCAGTTCTAAAAAAGCAAAACTTTTATTCTGAATTCCATGTAAAATTTTGTTTTTAAGGAGGAAGATTTTCATGGTTAGAAGCTGACTAATTTTCTTCATTTATCAAGCTTCAAAAAAGCTAACAGAACTTACTTTTACAAAAATTCAAGTATAACAAGAAATACTGAGGATTATGCCAATACTGAAATAAATATATATATATCGATGGGATAGCACAAGATTATAATTGTTGTTAATCAAAGTGACTAAATTATCTTACTGTAATGAGAGAAAAATATAAAAAGGTATCACAAATGCTTATTATTAATCTTACTTGTAGAAAGACAACTAGGCCAATGAAAAGTAAGTCTACAATATTTTAACAATGCCTAACATTAAACTTTATTTTACAACTTTCATAAAACGGCATCTTCAGTACCAGATGGTAACCATAGTCAGAGGGATTTTATAGGAGTACTCACATCCAACTGAAACAGACTGATGTGGTGAGATGTTACTGGAATGATGCTGAGGAATAGAAATGGCTGCTGAGCGAGGTGCAGAGGTGCCAGCAGTCGAGCCATCACTTAGGGAATGGTGAATGTCTGGATCAGACATTTTCCTCTTGAGAAATTTTTGTCCACTCCCACTCTGTGAATCCAACACTGAAACACTAGTTTTCTTGTGTCGGCTACTATTCACACGCTGCAAGCTACGGGATAACCTGCAATTCAATACTTTCTTTTACCCAATAACAGAAATTAAAAGGAGTTAAGTTTTGCTCTGTCACCCTCAGTGGACTAGTGGTTAGTGTACTCACCACTGTACCCAAAGTACGCAGGTTCAAACCTGGCCGAGGATGATGAATTTTTAAGAGTGATTAAAATCCGTAGCACTACTTATTTTGGAGGGGAAAGTAAAGTGGTGGTCCCATGTTGTAGATTTATGGCATGTAAAAGAAACTTACGAGCATGAACGAGATGTTTCATAAGCAAAATTCATTGGCCATTTCTCACACGTCTCCCCTGATTCTCTACTAGATGGCTCTAGCAGACAAATCCGGAATGAGTGGAAATTGTGCAGTGTCAATAGGCTGGTCACTCACTACTCACAAACGCACACTTCAAAGACTAGGAAACCTCCTACCTGGGAGGAGACCAAGGCTCAGACTCGGGCTGCAGTGCCATTGGATGGATGGAAAAGTTTTCCTCTGGCCCATTTTTGCCTAGCAGGCTACCAAAGAATTTCCAGACTCTTTTGTAATAATAACTACAAAATGAGACCTCTGCCAAATAGAAAGGGTTTAAAACCAAATCTTTCTAAGGTTATACCATCTCTTAAAATCAGTGATTCCTTGTATAAAGAAATGTGGCAGGACTCATAATTCCTAAATTTCTTCAGAGTACAAGCATAGTTCTTTTCAAGAAACCCTGCTAGCCTAAACATTTCCTGTCTTTCATGGAACTCACCACTGGACTTTTCTGGATCAGACATTTTCCTCTTGAGAAATTTTTGTCCACTCCCACTCTGTGAATCCAACACTGAAACACTAGTTTTCTTGTGTCGGCTACTATTCACACGCTGCAAGCTACGGGATAACCTGCAATTCAATACTTTCTTTTACCCAATAACAGAAATTAAAAGGAGTTAAGTTTTGCTCTGTCACCCTCAGTGGACTAGTGGTTAGTGTACTCACCACTGTACCCAAAGTACGCAGGTTCAAACCTGGCCGAGGATGATGAATTTTTAAGAGTGATTAAAATCCGTAGCACTACTTATTTTGGAGGGGAAAGTAAAGTGGTGGTCCCATGTTGTAGATTTATGGCATGTAAAAGAAACTTACGAGCATGAACGAGATGTTTCATAAGCAAAATTCATTGGCCATTTCTCACACGTCTCCCCTGATTCTCTACTAGATGGCTCTAGCAGACAAATCCGGAATGAGTGGAAATTGTGCAGTGTCAATAGGCTGGTCACTCACTACTCACAAACGCACACTTCAAAGACTAGGAAACCTCCTACCTGGGAGGAGACCAAGGCTCAGACTCGGGCTGCAGTGCCATTGGATGGATGGAAAAGTTTTCCTCTGGCCCATTTTTGCCTAGCAGGCTACCAAAGAATTTCCAGACTCTTTTGTAATAATAACTACAAAATGAGACCTCTGCCAAATAGAAAGGGTTTAAAACCAAATCTTTCTAAGGTTATACCATCTCTTAAAATCAGTGATTCCTTGTATAAAGAAATGTGGCAGGACTCATAATTCCTAAATTTCTTCAGAGTACAAGCATAGTTCTTTTCAAGAAACCCTGCTAGCCTAAACATTTCCTGTCTTTCATGGAACTCACCACTGGACTTTATCCTGAAAAAGACAAGTTCAGCCCACAAAATCACAAACCATTTCCCTTATGATTGATATTACTTCTTCCTACATTTGCTAAGGTCTTAAAACTAAACTACATAATAAATGTAGTCTATCTTCTGTGCACCATACATTACATTACAATCCACAATTATATTTACTCCAAATCCTTCCAATTTTCTTAATGACATTCATTTAATATTATCCCCTTTCTTCATCTCAAAAGTGGCTACTTTTAAAGAGGTTCTGCCAGCAAAAGTTGGCACAATTTCTTATTTTGACAAGTAAACTAAATTTTTACTTGATCATTAAAGATTTCTTATGATAAAAAATCTTAATTACCTCGTTGTATGGATGGGAGGCAACTGGAACACTTGAGCATCATAAGCATCATAATCAAAGAGTGAATTAGGCATACACTCATCTTCTTGGATCAATTTTGATTTTGATGCTTGCAAAGGGCAACCATTAGATGCAGGTGATGGTTTTGTTCTCTTTGGTGGCAGTTTGATTCTTGGAATAAAGGTAGAATATGCCACTTTTTTGTTTGTCGAATAGAAGCTGTAATCAGATAAAAAGTTGTTATTATTATATACTAAAAATCTGAAGTCACTACCATTTTATTTTCAAACTTCACTGTAGTGCACATTTGTATAGGACATTTACAAAGTCCATTTCACATTTCAAATCTTTATTTTCTGCTTCTGCAGTGCAGCTTGCAGTTCAAATTTAAACCAAAAATTATTTTCTGTTTCTGAATAATTCTTAAGTTATAAAGAATGTTGTTTCAACTACATACCAACAAATAAGATGGAAACCTGTCTTAAGTTTAAGTAGGAAGCATTTATGGCCCATCTGAAGGTATTAATTAACCAGATAGTCAATCAGTGAATAAGGAGAAACAGAAAAAAGCTCAACCAGATCAGCTGATAACATGGCAAGATTCAAACTGGGTTTCTCGCAAACACAAGGCTACAGAATCATCATTACACACACCTGCTCGGTCCTCCATGTTTTAAATGTTGGTATGGTACAAATTTAAATACTTCTTCTGCAAACTAATTATGATCATTATATAGGAGAGAAGGTATGATTAAACCACCTCTGAATAGGGTGCCAGTAAACAATGCAATAAATACTTAAGTACAAACCAATATACAAGTTTCACTTCCCAATGCTTATAGCCAATGTAACCGACCACCAAATCACTCCATATTATGCACAGTCAAACAATTACTCACTAGTTGGTCATTCTGGTTTTTATATCTCAATATTAATCACATAATACTGTTTAGGACAGAATGGCCCTAAAGGTACATAACTTTAAGCCGATGATGCTGCTGCTTAGAACTAAAAAACTATTTACAAAGAAAAACTTGTGTTACTATTTTTCAACAACCTTAAATTGATCCAATGAGGCATACTATAGTCATCTGCTGCACTGAAGGAGGTATCTTTATTATGGAACTGTGAAACAAATAAACAAAACAGTAATTAAAACACTGTCTTCAACTGATATCTGTATATAAACAATATTCAAAGGAACAACATCTAGGACAAAACTTATAGCAGAAAGAATCTCAACAGTGTTTGAGAATATCACTGACAATATTTTAGTGAGGCTCTATAGCCTATGGTTAATTCAGAACAAGCTAAACTGGCCTGAAGTTAAAATAATTTTCTACACTGCATTAATAATATATACAATACACTTTTCAGTCAACATACTTTCAGAAGTGGGACAGCATGAAGTGGCTGCTCTCCAACACACACAAGGTCACTTCCAACACCGTTATCAATGATGCGCTGCTCTGTGACATTAGTTAACTCCCGGTCCACTTCAAATACTCCAACTCCTGGTGTTATTACTACTGACAACTGTCCAGTTCGATCAAAACTGCGATCTAAGTAGTGTTTTTCAAAAACTGTGTACATAAATAAATTTGTACATACAATTCAGATTCATTATAGAGGTAAAATAGCATGACAATGTCAGAGTTCATCAGAATCCATTTAGTTATGGTGGCTTATATGTTCTATGCACAAACTGCATAATGGGAAAGATGTGGGTGTGTGTTTGTCCATCCAGCTGTTTTTTGTTACTGAAAATATTAAAATAGTAAAAAATAGGTTTTCATAATTCAGTTAAAATAGCAAATACCAACCATTGAGAGACATGTTCAAGACTTCAAGAAAATTTCCTTGTGCCGCTGTAGAGTTGACAGCTTTTGGAATCTGAACCCCAGGTCTTTTGTGATATTCAAGCACTATCTTCTGATAATCAGTGAAAAGTCGGCGTAACTGTACCAATGTGTTTGTCCAGTCGTCATACCTCTCATTCTGAACTGCAACTCTGGAAATGTCAAGAATGTGCAATTACTTGTGTTTAGATGAAACTGAAATTAATAGTATTTTCCTACATAGAACCTCTGCAACACCATAATCTCTATCCATAAAAAAAAGTTGATAATATGGCTCCACTGTCACTTTATTTGTTAATGCAACTGCGTAAGTGATTAGGCCACTGCAGCTTGTGGAAAGACAATAATGCTGAGTGGTGCAAAGGTGATGAGAGTAAATAGGAAGTAAGGTAAAATTGCATGTGCCTGAAAACACTATGGGAAGCCAAAGAAAACACTAGTGAGGATAAATAGTACCAGCCAATACTGTATCCAAGTCTTATTACTTTACAACCTATTACAATGATAACATAATTCTTTTACACCAGTAATATACATTAGTACAGTTCATGACTGCAATCTTGAAACCTGCAAAGTATGCAGGAAGATGGAAGGGGAAAAGGGATGGATCAGCAACTACTATCTAAGCAAAAACATTTACTATTTACTCTATAGTGGCACTACACAAGCATACTCACTAGTGGCCAAGATGTTCTAAACTCATTCTATGCCACTATACTACACATCAGATGACAACCATCCCCACTTCCTCACCTTGCAAGTCACAATATTAGTCGTGAACAGTACACACATATGCACATGCATACCAAACATTTCAAATAAATTATTAAAGGTTTGCATATAATGAGTGGCTTTCTTTCATATTTTAGCACTAACAAAAGTAGAAAAAGTTTGAATTTGTATTCTCCAACAAATATGACAGTTATGTTCAGATTTTGTAACAATTAATGTTTAAGACAATTTCAGCAGTATGTCTTTACATATCATCTTATCCTATTTGTATGAACAGACTAGATGAGAGATAATCTTCTCATTTAATTTTTCATCTAACATGATTCTGCAGCATTACCTATAGAAATCTTCATAAAAACGCCCTTTGTAGTCCCGTTGTAGACACTCCCGCATAGGGCCAGGAAACTCTTCTAAATTATTTGCTTTATAAAATGTACGTGAGAATAACACAATAGTCACTTCATGGTTGCTTCCATTTTTCTGTAACAGTATTAAAACATGTGAGTAAATGTTTATTAAAATCATAGTAAAATAAACAGATGGGTAAACTTCAGTGACAATAGCTGGACTTCACTTTTGCAGTTAATGTACAAATGCTGCAGTAAACAACTCTGGTTCATAAATTCTGAAGCAGACACTGCAGCAAATATACATGCATTAAATTGAAACCCATAATTTTCTTCAATGCGTATAACATTTTAATACAAGATTTTATTGTATTCAAAAATTACTCATGACTGTAACACAAACATAACTGAGCACAATATCAGTTGTTCACAGAGAATGTCAAAAATATTAATTATTCTGAATTTTTCAAGATGGATGAAGAAACTTCAGAATGTATTACATGGAGACAGTAAACATTCTGAGAGGCAACACCCTGCTAGCTCCAACTTTCCAACATCCCTGGATTCATAAAATATATAATCTTGTACAAATAAATACTTTACTTATTAAGCCCAACTAACCTTCCATTTCTGAAATAAATCAGCTAGAAACCCATTAACAGCTTTTTCAAAATACAGGTCTCCATGAATATCAAAATCCCACATTTCTGAACTCATCTGAATGAAGAGGTATACCATGCTGGTGGATGATCGAAACACCACCTAAGTAAAAGAAGAAAATACACACTGGAAAAGCATACTCTGAAACGTGTGACAAAACTACCTAGATGGAGCAGAAGTACATATAGAAGGATAGAGGATAATGAAGAATTGCCTTGGCAAGCCATCCTGGTGGAAATGTCAACAGATGATGAGAAATTACAAATACTTTCTTTAAATAATGTTCAGTAAATAGTATGTTGCAATGACCAGTACTGACTTTAATATATAGTAGCAAATTTAATTTATAGCATTGCTATTGCACTTATGCCACATTTTGCTTATGTATGACATCACACATATGGTTTATATTTTAGTAAACAAAGAAATGATTAATTACAATTAATTCACATCTTGTATTACACAATTATGGTACAATTTTCTTACTTCACACAGTCAAGATTCATTTTCAATCTTACAATAGTACATTAAAAAATGTCTTTACAGCATCATCCCACAAAATTTGTATGTTGTTTCCATTTTTTGCAGTTCCCTTATTTCATCGCATACTATTTTTTTACATGGCCTGGACATGCAGTTCAGGTAGTGGAAATCACACATGTACTGGTAGAGTAAAGTCCTGAAAAGTGGCTAAGCATATAAAATTATATATAATATTAGAATGCATCTTAACTGGTTGTAAGAATGTGCATTGGCTTCAACTACCTCAAAACCACACAACCAACAGTATATGTCATTTATATACATAATTATAATTTTCTCTTACTTTTGTGTCATCCGTGATTACACCACAAGCAACTCTGTCTCCCATGGACCACATTTCGTATACTTGGCATCGGATACTTCCTCCACAAAATTCAATTTTCTTATTCAAATAAACACAGGTGTTTACCTGCGCATTGAAAAAAAAGAGAGTAGATATATAAAATATGTAGAAACAAGTATATAATACAATTCTTCAGACGCATCACAATACGTACCAAACTGTTCTTCAACCGCCACATTTCACTTCGACCCATATACTGATCCTTAAATGTGAGTTCAACAGAATCCAGAGCAACATCTTCAGGGTTCACAATATTCATGCAAACATCAGCATATGTTCGAAGCTGGAAAGCTGATGCAATACTCTGCTCCACACTAATTGCAGCATCTGGAAGTCAAAACACAGTTATATTAAGTCACCTAACTATTAAAAGATTACATTCCAAGAGTCCATTCATAAGCTGCTTGTTTAAAATTCAATTTAGCATATACACAAAATTATAAATGGCAAGGTTCCCAAACCAATCTACAATTGCCTATTCAAGTCATAATTTAGTTGGTTTGAAATAAAAATAACCAAAATACCAGTTATAATACCTGTAATGAACTAAAACAGGTAAATATTTAGAGGGAACAATATAAAGAGCCTATTTTCAATTATTTACTTGAAATATGGTACTGCCTTTCTTATAGGAAGTGGTGTTTCTTGAAGACAGGATTTATTATGGGAGGTTGACACTTTTCTGGGCAGTTTCAAGGGCTGCAGATGATATACTGTGCAACTACAAGTTGTGACATCTGGTTCACGCCATGTGACAAAGTTATTACAGCATTAAGGTAGATAATAATGCATATGTATTAGCACTTTGTGAGTCAGAAATATGTAGGTCAAGGAATCTCTGTAATCTGTTATCCTATAACATCAACAACAACAGCAACAATAATAATACAGTTAGTAAGTGGTATCTTCTTTTTATTTTCTTATAAGATAACAAAACTGTGGTGCTAAAATTTATTAACCAAATAATGAATGACAGACCTTGCAGGAACATCAACAATGAATTTCTGCTGAAATTTTGTATGACTATGTACCATCCTGAACACTTAGCAACACCCAGGCTGAAAAAGTGAGCCACTGATAAGATGGTAGCCAGAAAACCAATGTCTGATAAGATCTACTACAGGCAGTGATGTTATGTCATACAGTATGAATACAAAAGAGCCCTGAAGAAGACATCAGTTGAAAAGAAATTAGAATTGTTAATGATTGTGTTAAGACAGATGAAATTGGAGACTTTCATCCATCAACCCATCTAAAATGTAAATGATGCCAGACGAATAATAAGAAAGATATACACAAACTAATTCACTATGCATAAAGAACTTCACTTTTTAAATAAAATAATAATTTTACCTTTTCCTTTTAAGTCTTCTTTCAGTACAGTTACTTGCAATAAAAGTCTGCTAAACTCATCTTCTGGATGATATATTTCAACTATATTTCCTTTCTTAATACCAGGAAAATCCTTAGGATTTATAATTAAATCTTCACCTGAAATACAAAAACACCAACTATTTTTAATAAAATGACAAATAAATGAACCAAAATATGTACTTTCTCATCCTGTAAGAATGCAGTCAACACAGTGCATATGGCAAGGCTGTAATACATTTTACTTCACTACAAGTCCTTACAAAAGGATGTGTTTAAGTAAAATTTTGGAGTTCAATCCATGGTACAATATGCGAGTCAAAACCAAGGCAACACAAAATATTCACAATCACTACTCATTTATGCCAACACTGTATGAAAGTTATCACAACATAATTTTATCCTATATGTGTTCTTCTGGCAACCTATCATGTCAGTAATAATATTACACTAGTTAAGATAGATCACTTTCGATTATTTTCAGTTTGCTTTCTTTAAACATGGTTACTTTATTTTTTATAAGAATGTTACACTTCCACATTCTTCTCATTCTAGAGATGGCATAACAGGTGTACCTACATTATAATACATCAGGGATATATGTGGCTGTACTACCATACATTGGACAACATAAGCATGCGACAGAGAGGAATGGTGGCGATGCTGGGGCCCGCGCGTGAGCTGAAGAACGGGTAGCTTAAGTGTTAAGTGTAAGTGTTATCAAGGCATATCAAATAATTTTCTCATATTTTACATAGGAATTACACAAACATTTTCAGGTTCCAAGACCTGGGCATTTCTTTCATATGACCATATCCAAAAAACTTTCAGAAAATTCAACAGCAATAGTACTGTCATATAGCCATAATCTGTACATTCAATCAAAAAGTAATGTGAACTGCACAGACTTCCATCTCTATGTTACAATAATAACTCAAATAAAAAATTAAACTTCTGCAAATGTCCTACTTTCATCCCTGACGATGGAGACAACATGTAGAGTAGAGTAGAGTAGAGTTTATTTACATTCCATAGATCCTTCTTAGGACTCAACCAAAGGATGTAGAACATGTCATTTCATACAATACGTATACATACACTTCAGAACTTTCAACACAAGTACAAAAACGTATTTCACATATCAATGTACATAAATTTCAGATTCTGCAATACAAGTATGAAAAATAATTTTACAAATTAATATACATAAACCTCAGAATTTTAAATATAAAT